TAGCAATTGCTAAGGGTTCAATTGCAATGTCGAATAAATAGGGTGACAGGCAGCATCCCTGCCTTGTTCCTCTGTAGAGCATAAAATAATCGGAAATAAGACTGGTCCCAGTCACAAATGTTCCCAGGCAGCCAAAAAGATAGTTCCACTTCCATCCTATCAAATGCCTTTTCAGCATCAAGGCTCAGGATCATTTCCGCCGTACTGTGGATTTAAGGGACAAATAATAGATTAAATAAACCGCCGTACATTCAAAAATGAATTGGCCCAGAGATGAAACCTGTTTGGTCTTTATCAATAATGGTAGGAATAAAGGCTTCTAATCGCTGCGCAAGGACTTTAGTTAATATTTTATAATCACAACAAAGAAGGCTGATTGGTCTATAGGAACTACACTGTGAGGGATCCTTGTCTTTTTTCAATATCACTGAAATTGTCGCTTGAGAGATTGTTGGTGGTAATTTACCATTAACCAGTGATTCTTCATAAACAGATTTTAAAACCGGCACAAGTTTTGAGGAGTATTCCTTATAAAATTCGATGGGGAACCCATCCGGACCTGGTGCCTTCCCTGTACTAGACAGTCTGATTGCGCCTTCTATTTCTCCAACCGTTAATGGCTGTTCTAAGGAGCACTGGGAGTCTGGTGAGAGTTTTGGGATATGTAAGGAATCCAGAAACTACTGAATTTCAGACGAGTTAACATCTACCTCTGATTGATATAAAGTAGAATAGTATTGCTTAAACTGGTCATTAATTATTTGGGGATTATGCGAAGTCGAATCGGCACCCGTATTGATCCTCGGGATCGTCTGTCCAGCCGCCTGCTGCTTGAGCTGAAGTGCGAGGAGTCTCCCTGCTCTGTCCCCATGTTCATAGTAAACCTGTTTAGTTTTTAAAATATTTTTTTCAGCTCTCCACGTCGAAAGTGTGTTAAATTCAGATTGAAGCAGTACTTTTTCTTTAAAAAGATCTGCCGTGGGCAAGAGAGCATACCGTCTGTCAACATCTGCAATGCTGTGTGTCAGTTCTTTAAGTTTCTTAGATCGCTCTTTGTTTTTATGTGCAGTGTATGAAATAGCCTGTCCCCTGATGTAAGCTTTTAGGGATTCCCATAGAACACTCCTCGAAATATCCTTGGTGTCATTAATTTCTAGAAGTCAATCTGGCCACTGAGGTAAGTTTTAAAGTGTTCATATGAAAGCAAATGGGGGTCTAGACGCCAGGTGCGTTGGGGTGCTATATTACCAGGAAACATCATATCCATTTGTACTGGACCATGGTCGGATTACACAAATCTGTGGTACTGGCTCCTGGGATTAAGGGAAGTAATTGGTCATATACAATGAAATAATCAATCCTGGAATAGCTATGGTGGACAGGGGAGAAAAACGAAAATTGTTTAGTATTAGGATGTTTTACCCGCCACGGGTCAGATAGGCCACAGGAGTGCAGGAAGGAGTTTATAGCTATCGCAGATGTTGACAGAGTACTATTAGAGATTATGATTTTTGCCATAATCGAGCAGCCCTACTCCTGTTTGTTAAAAACATTTAGAAATGTTTGACCCGGGGGGGAAAACGAAAATGAAATGATTAAGAAATATTGTGGTTAGCAGCAGGAATTTCACCAACACCAATTATGAACATCCTCAGTCCACACCCATACTGCAACACTTCCCTCTGCAGTATCGTGTGAAATGCTACTTAAACACTGGGTGTGGCACCACGTTTAACAAACCACACATGCCTGTGATGTTGGGTGGGGGCAGAAGTGCAACAGACTTGAACTGTATAAACCACAGAGGTCAATGAAGCAAAACCTTCCCTCCATACAGGATTTAGAGTGGAGCTGCCTGTTATAGAAGATATGTGTGTGTGCTTGTTTTTGTCGCTAAGGGAGGGTACCTGAAGCAGGCAAGAGCAATCTGTGTGAAATGGTGTCAGGGAGGAAGAGAGTTGTAAATGTGGGTTTCCGGAGCCAAACTAACAGATCTTGTGTTTCCCCCGCTCAGGGAAAGGTGGAGATGTGTGTGCATGGATGTGTTGAGCTGTGTACGTTTGTTGGGGTTGTGTGGTGTTGATCATTATCATGAGGTACAACTGTTTGGGTTAAGGGTTACGCTCTTCATTTGTATCTGCCTAAAAGAACGGTATAAGTGCTGTGATGTTGTCACTGTTAACATATTTAGTTTTATACCACACTCTTGCTGATACTGGTATCTCTACATCCTGAGCATATGATCCAAGTAATACTCCTACACTAATGATATGTTGGGTCTTTGCATGGTTTTAACTGTTGGGAAAGTAATACAGAGTGGGAATGCAATGGCAGATGCATAACATCTGTCTACATGGTTTTAGGTTTGATCAAGTTTGTTTACTTATCACTAGAATATGGGTTTTCTCCCATAAACATGAGCAAAGTAAAAGACTATGGTTAGGTCTGGATTATGTAAACAGATAAGGATTGGGTGCATGGCACAAAGTAGCACCATTTAGCAGGAACATACTGGTCAAATGTGGAACTGGCTACTAGATTTGCATGACTCATCTGCCAAAAATGAGGGTTAAATAATAAATGAATTGTGAACATACATTAGGCCATTTAGCCGGCGGACAACAAAAAGTTGCTATTTTGAACCCACATTGAGTACATGTTTTATTTGTACATTTAAATCTATTATTTTGTTTGCATAAAGACCCAGATTGCATACAGAAGAGTGCTTTTAACACTCTTTGATGGTGATTGTAGGGTGATGTTGATGGAGTGCAGATACTTCCCCCTTAAACCGCAGTGCGCTGGTTTTGTCACAACATCAGACACCCACAGACACACACTTGCAAGCACATATAGTACGACAATAGGCACAAAGACACATTTGTATTTCATCCTCCCACCCACAGCTCTGTATATACAAAAAATAAACTGAATCAGTGTGGCAAGCCGCCCCGAATAGCTGTTCACATCAATGCCACATTGACGTAATAGTTAAGAGCTTGTTTTACCACATGCATACACTGTTGTGCTTTCATGCTGGATAGCAGCGCATATGTAGCATATACATTTGTTGCTTTTTTCAGGTGCTGCGATAGACAGTGCCCCACGCTGTGAATACACTTCTGCTTTTATTGGTTTCGGAGTCCATTGTTGTTGCGGGAATGCATTGCATTGTTTAAATCAATCTAAACTTGAACGTTTCAAAACAACATGACCTTTAAGACACCAGAAGCAGAGGTTTGATTCTCTGTGAGGCAATACCTAACAAAAACAGCTGTCAAGTCTCTGCTGCTTGATTTTGAAAAAGAAGAATCGAAAATACTTTAATGTTTTTGAAAATGGCTCTGTGAAAGTGACTTTGCAGCATGCTCACCTTCAATAAGAACCCTGTTATGGCTTTTTAAATGTATGTTTGTGTTGCAGAGATTTCTAACCTGCTGGTGGTAACCAAAGAAAGAGAACCGCTGCCTCTGACTCCCATGCAGAGTCAGGTCAGCTTCCATCGCATTCTCAAGGAGGAAATCAAACAGGTACAGCCTCTCAACTTCACGTCTGTCTCCCATATGATGGTCAGAGCATGAATGTCAATGTAATATACAAATATTCAAATAAATAAGGAACAAACATTTTCATCCATATAATGTATTTTGAAATGAATGTACAGTAGATTTTGTTTTTATGAAAACGGTTTAAGCTTCCAGTGTGGTGTATATGTTGTACAGAAGACCTTCACAAACAACAGCCTACAAATCTACTGCAGTTTAGTCAAATGCAAACAACTGAGCATTAATCCACACAGGATCGTTTATACCTAACAACAGATTTGGTCCTCTTAGGATTTCTCCTATATGAAAAGACACTTCAGATCTATGCAGACATTACTTCGACTATGTGAACTTGCATATTTGATGTAAATATTTACATATCTCAGTTTACATTTTTTACAAAACTCCATTGTTTTGCTCTGTCTCTGTAAGTACGTGCAGAGGTTTGTTCAAACCCTAGATAACAACACACTTGAGCTAGTGCTCTAATATTCTTGTAGTAGCCGTAGTTTGGAAACTGGTTCTAACTATGCTTTTCTGGGTTGTGTGAACCAGGAGGAGCACCTTGGCCCGGGCACAAGAACCAACATCTACTCAGGCTCACTGATGGTGAAAAGCATAGAGGACGATGAGGAGAATGGAGGGAACCCATCCTCCCAGCAGGTGAAGGTGGTCCTGAAGGTGCTGGGTTCTGGACACAGGGACATCTCACTGGTGAGAAACACTCACAGATCCTGTATCCTGTTCTTAAGAGCACTACATCCATTCTGTAACATCTTACTATACTCAAAGATCCTACTTGGTAGAAGCAAGCTGTTTCAAAATCAAACCAAACGTTTCTGCAGTGTGCCTTGTGTCGAGTTATCTCTGTCTTTCTGTCTACAGGCCTTCTTCGAAACAGCCAGCATGATGCGACAAGTGTCCCACAAACACATAGTGCTGCTGTATGGAGTGTGTGTCCGCAACCAGGAGAGTAAGTGCCTTAATGAGCTGTGTGTTTGTAAATGTGTCTTGAGAGTGTAAGGCTGTTTCTGACCCCTTCTCTCTCTGTGTTTGTGTGTAACAGATATCATGGTTGAGGAGTTTGTGCAGCTAGGACCCCTGGACTTGTTTATGAGGAGACAGCAGACGCCCCTCAGCACACCGTGGAAGTTCCAGGTGGCCATGCAGCTGGCCTCAGCTCTCAGCTACTTGGTAAGACAGGAAAAGACACATGCACATGCACACTAACTATAAAATGTAAGCACAGCCCTGTATGGATCAGTGTTTTTACCCTGCGTATGCACCATTTTTTTGTTCTCTTTGCTATCTCACTTTTGTTCTAATAGTTGTGAGTTATATTGTGTGTGTGTGTGTGTGTTTTTAGGAGGACAAAAAGCTGGTCCATGGATTTGTGTGTGCTAAAAACATCCTGCTGGCCAGAGACGGGCTGGACGCGGATGAAGGAGGGCCCTTCATCAAGCTCAGCGACCCAGGAATACCAATTACAGTACTCACCAGAGAGGGTTAGTACAAAGTATTACATATTTGATACACAGTAGTAACACATGTGGGTTGTATATTATACTGGTGTCTATCTAATTTTATGCCATACAATACAATACAATACAATTTATAACAGTTACTTAATCCCATACAAATTCCTACTTTAATGGTTCTTGCCATGGTTCTGAGTCCCTCTCTTTTCTTCTTCTTCATTTAGCTTCTTCCAGTTTGTCTTCAGGGATTAAGATTTACAAGTTTATTTTGATCATGATGTGTACGTTTTTTATGAGGAGTAACTCTCACAGTGGAAAAGGAAGGGCATTTCTCTCGACCTCACCCTTAGAAAAGTTCCTATCTATACCCACACACAATAAAAGACATGGCTGCGCAGCGTCCACAGCCAGTTGGATAACTTCCTGTGTCCTATCTCTGAGTGCGGATATCTCTTTATTTTTTTCTCTCTTTTTTTCTGGGTTACTAAAAGTGAAACCAAAATGGTTACCAAATTGCTGCCATGGAAAATGTCACAATCACTTCCACTTTTTTTCAAAGTCATCTGTAAATGACAGTGAAACCAAAATGAGAACACAGTGCGACAACTGCATGGATATAGGCTTAATTTGGACAATGAATTAGTCAGTTTAATTTTCATTACATTTTTTAAGTCTAACTAGATCTCCAAAAATACCAAAGTTATGTAGCACTTCATTTAATATTTGAAACACAACACACCTACTAACATATTGACAATGGTCTTGAAGAAATTAGTCAGATTTGTTTTTCTTGTCCTCTGTTCCCGCATTTGTCCCACAAGAAACTGAAAATATGATTTTTATCAGAACCTTTCCGATCAAGCCTTTGTACGGTATGTATTCATATTTGTCACTTGATCAATACAAATGCATCGGGCACATTTCCCTCTAAGACATTCATTTGTTTTGTAAAGGCTAGTTTCAGGGAAGGTGGCACATGAATAAGGACATTTCTCCGATTGCACAGTTCCTCGCTAATGTCTGCCTCATGTTTCTGTTTGGCTGTTAGACCTGCTACGTGTGTTCTTAAACAATGTGGATGCTCAGATGGATTTGCAAACCACAGGGCAAACTGGAAATGTTACTCTGCAAATGTTAAGCCCCTGGGAGTGCTCCTCCCTCCCTCTCTGTTCCCAGAACTCTTTATATGTCTCCCTTTGCCTCCATTACTCTGCACAACAATCAGTCTTCCAGTTACACATCAATGTCCTTGTATATAGATTGAATTGTACGCATAGAGGGGAAAGTGCTGAGAAACCCACTGGGAGCGTACTTCCCTTCTTCCCAGCAATCTCTGATCACTTTACTTCATTCTCTTTTTTCTCTCTTTTTTTTTTGTCTTCACAATCAATTATCTATTTTCCCGCTTTCATTTCTTTCTCCATCTTCCCCCTTCACTCCATACAGCCCCTCCACTGCCTTTCCCCTCCTCTTTCCCTCCGGTCAGCCCCCCGGTTTTCCTGTCTGAGCTGCATGCACTAACTTACTCCCCTCATCTGAAGCATTTGTAAAGACGGAAAGCCAAGCGTGGAGGTCAGCCAATCAGCTATCCTCTTTTATAGACTCAAGTCATTTATTTCCTAGTATTATGAATAGGTGAGAGTATTCCAGCAACCATTCATTCCAGGTTATTCCAGAATGTTGTTAGCATTTGGTGTAAACGATCATATGTGTCTTGTACATATGACACTACCATACCAGTTACACATTTCAAATGTATGGTTGAAAATAAACACTGCTGTATTTACGTTTCAATTTACGATCAATGAATCTATATACTGTAAGTTAGGGCTTCTCAATTAATCGTATTTTAATCGCGATTATGATTATGGCTTGCAACGATTACGAAAACAACGTAATCGAAATAAAACGATTATTTTTTTATTATTATTATTACTTTTTTTTATTTTTAATTGGGGTTTTTCAGTTGAATTATACTTAGAGTTCAGGGTAATCAACTGTTAAAAACAAACTGTTCACATTTTCTTTCTCCAATAAATGGATGTTTTCAAAGTCAATGAATAATCACATTTAATAATCGCAATTACAATTATTGACCCAAATAATCGAGATTATGATTTTTGCCATAATCGAGCAGCCCTACTGTAAGTAGACATGCATAATCGTTATGTAACCCCCCGCTTAAATACAATAAGTACTCTCGTTGAAAGGTCAAGTCTGTATTTCACATTTCCTGTGTATCTCACTCATCTCCGAACAATGATCTTTTGTTTTTTTTATGAAGACACAAATGTGTGTCTGATTGATTGGCAGTTGCTAAAGCTGACTTGGTTTGCCTCTGCAGAGTGTGTGCATCGCATTCCATGGATCGCTCCTGAGTGTGTGAACAGCATGTCCTCCCTGAGCGTCCCAGCTGACAAGTGGGGCTTTGGTACCACCCTGTGGGAGATCTGCTATGATGGAGAGGAACCCCTCAAAGACAAGAAGCTGACAGAGGTACGGAGTAACAACGGCAGGACAATGTGTGATCATATATACATTCTGTAACTTCAAATCTGAGGGCTGCCCTACTTTTTATTGTAGGCCATTTGCCTTTTTCACCTCCTCTGTCCGGTATCTCACATCAATAATTATATTATCATGTCTTTATGCACCTCCTCATGTACATGCATGTGTTTGTGCTGAGCAGAAAGAGCGCTTCTATGACACGGAGTGCCAACTGGCCACCCCAGACTGCCAAGAGCTGGCTCACCTGATGACCGACTGCATGAACTACGACCCCAAGAAGAGACCTTTCTTCAGGGCTATCGTCAGAGAAATAGTCAACCTTCCAGATAAATGTATGTATGATGGAAATGTGTGTCACTGTGCAATGTATGTTAGATATTTAGGGGTAGGTGAAAATATGAAGTAATACCTTTTTTCTCTGCAGTTCTTTCCCCAAAACTTGAATGTTGAGAGTGTGCAGGTTAAATGCTGATACAGGCTCAAACAATGCAGGCAGCTGTCTACAGTTGGAATACGATACGGCTGTTTTGCATATTTTGTGTCTAACCTAGCAGCGCCCAGTAAGCAGTGCAAAGACAGAGAGAGAGAGAGAGAGAGAAAGTTGTTTACTCAACTCAGATGTTCATCATGAAGTTCACTGGGTGCAATATCACTGATCCGCCCCTCTGCTGGGCCCCATAGCAACATAACACTGCCTCTTCTTCCACCTGCTGGCCAGGATTGGGAACTGCAGTGTTGTTCCACCATTTTATAAAAAAATCTAAAGAATGCAACACAATCGCCTAAATCGAACAACATTGTTATATATATTGCACCAAAACATTTTAAAACTGTTTTTTCAAATAAACGATATCATAATTATTTTTACCATAAATACAGAATGAGTCTTGGTTGTGTTATGATTTTTCTTTGTCTGCGAGCAGTTACATAACCACCAAAAATCTTGCAACACTGTTAACCACATTTGACTTCCTCTCACAAAAGTGTGCTTATGTTGAAGACAATACATGTTCTACTGAGCATGTTTAATATATTTCTGTCTTTTTCCATCACTCAGACCCATCCTTCAAAGCCCAGCCTCAACCAGGGGTGGACCCAACTATGTTTGAAAAGAGATTCTTGAGGAAGATCAGAGATCTGGGCGAGGTAAACTCTTCCTGCTGTATCTAAGCTTTTGTGTTAATCCCTGTATGAAAACATTTACAATAATGATCCAATAAAACATCCTGACCATTTTGCTCATATTGAATTAAATCTATAGTTAACATGCATTCATATTTTATTCCTTTCTATTAAGTATGCCATCCGAATTTTATTATTATCATTATTTTCATCTTTCATAACTTAAAAACAAACTGCAAGGATGATTAAAACAAATATTTTCTTCAGATCAAAGACAAGCTAATACAGGACTAAAGGCCAATAGGCAAATATCTGAAATGACCTGCAAACAAAGTACTTCTTCATGATCATCCTGTCACATATTCCTCATGCAGGGCCACTTTGGCAAAGTGGAGCTGTGTCGCTACGATCCTCGGGGAGATAGAACCGGAGAGCTGGTGGCGGTGAAGTCCTTGAAGCCGGAAAACCGGGAGGAGCAGAGCAACAACCTCTCGAGTGAGATTGACATCCTGAAAGCACTCTACCACGAAAACATTGTCAAATACAAGGGCATCTGCCAGGAGGAAGGTAAGAGGAAAAGAGTGCCTGCAAAAATAAACACTGACGTTTGTATATTCAGCTGCAGACAAACAGAAATCCACCTATGTGTCAGAGGGTTGTTGTATTAATACATTAAACCAGAAAGCAAGCTTTTATTGTTAAAGTACAATAAGGTCAGTGTAGAAAAGCAAAGCATGGTGCATCTAGATTCTAGGTGTAGACGGAGGTGATTTGTTTCATCCTGTTTCCTCTCAACCCATAAGAACCCCGACCCATTTCTACTTTTGGGAACATCATTTAGACTTAATAGACCACATAGGACACATTTCTGACAAGTACCCCCCCTAGTGTCTAAGATCTGAAAAGTGACATATGTCACATTGGGCGTTAATGGTAAAGTCATTCTTATTAATAACTTAATTAATGAGGATGATTTTTTTTTGGTTGAAATTTGTTTTAACATTCTCTGAACTGAAACAGATAGAATATATTAACTAAATATCTTGACTCAGCTAAATTAACTGAGCAGATCATAGTCATATTTCTAATTGTGACATATATAGCAATTTTAAGGTTGATGTCCCAGCGATATTAATCTTTGTTGCTTCATATCAATTTGATCAATAAATGTTTTCACAACAGTTTAAATGTAATAAAGAACATGTTATGTAAGCATTATAATTATTAAATGGCTTGAATCTTACCTTTTAGCAACAAAAAACAAGCTTTTGAAATGTAGCTAGTTCTGTCAGCCTGGCACATGGACATCTTATTGTTGTTATGGGAACATAAAATCACATGACTTGGCCCATGACCCACCAGACTGTTCAGGGACTTCATGAGATAAAATAAAGCTTAAAGCTGCATAAGGAACTTTCCAGAACATTTAAATGTCATGTAACACCTGTGTCACCGTGGGTTCTCTTTGAAATGGTCGTGCCAACTACTACTGTTTATTTCTAGAGCAGCTTATGTAGATATGTGTGGCTTTTAGGGAAGGAGTCACTTCATGCAGAGCTTAGTGTCCTTAAGTTATACTCAAATTCCAGGCCGGCATTTCAGTGATAGGAGTTTATTCCAGCATGAACCAACGTTCTACACAAATAAACAGGCGTGTATGCCTCTCATTCCATCTCATCAGAATCAATGACTTGCAAATCTTGATCAAATCTAGACAGTCATTAATTACACTTTCCGCTGTTAAGCAGATATTTCCTGAATCTTTCGAATCGCAGAAAAAAAACTGGACAACTAATCTTTCATCCGAATCACAAAAGAAAAGCTTTTGACCTGTTTTCCATATTGCAGTACACTAACTCTCTAGGAAGTATCTATAAATACCTTAATAATACGGGTAATTGTTGGTAAACTGCCTCCTGGTGTTATACTTAGAAGACATAAGACTGGGGTTTACCAAATGCTTACACGCACAAATACACACGAGCTGTTATTTATGAAAGACCACTCTGCTGATATCTGCCTCTGATTTCTGTTGATGTGTGAATCTGTTTGTAGGCGGTCAGGCCATTAAGCTGATCATGGAGTACCTTCCCCTGGGCAGTCTGAAGGAGTATCTCCCCCGAAACAAAGGCAAGACCAGCCTCGGCACCCTGCTCAGCTACTCTGAACAGATCTGCAAGGTAAAAGGGAATTTCCTCTTACCAGCTAGTACAATCTAGTACATCTTATACGGGTAGTTACCAACACCTGACCTCTTTTGTTAAAAATATATAGTTATCCTAGCATACCCAATCTTTGAAAGTGCTTCAGGTTTAACACTTCCTTGTGGGAAGTGCTTTCCAAAAGAACAACAAACAGAAATGTTCATATGATTGTTGTGAGTTGGTGATGCTGGTTGTTTGCTTTTGAAATAATATAACTTATTGGTCAAAATGTTTCAGAAAAGACAACCTCACTCTGTTCTTACAAATCTGGAAAAAAAAAAAAAAGTGCTAAGGGGTGCTGTTGCCATGTTGAATGAAATACGTTAACGGTGCAGGAGTCTGAAACAAAGGCTGGTATTGCAGCATAATATGTGCCTCCTTAAATCGTTTGCAGGTCCTCTCCCATCATACAATGTTTTCTAAGTCTGCATGTTCCAATCACCCATAGACTGCATTTCTCTGCCTTTGAAACGTTGAGCAATGTCCCTGCTTTAAAAAAATTTTATTTTAAGGGAATGGGGTATCTTGGATCCCGAAACTACATCCACCGTGACCTGGCTGCTCGAAACGTGCTGGTGGAGAACGAGACGACCGTGAAGATCGGAGATTTCGGCCTAACCAAAAGCATCAAGGAAAACGAGGGATATTACACCGTCAAAGACGAAAACGACAGTCCTGTTTTCTGGTGAGTCAAGAGGGGAAGGGAGTTATCAAACCTCATACTCTCTCAGGCCGGACTGAGATGTTATTGTTACAAGAGACTTTGTAAAGGAAGGGGAGCGAATACTGAAAGATGGGAATGAAGGTGATGCAGTATGTGGAATACTGGTGATACAAGATACTCTTACTGGTTTCTCACAAGCATTTTATTGGGTTAAGAAAATTATAATTTAGTCAAATCTGACAAAGATGTTATTTTCTCTATTAAAAACACCTTACAATCTGATAGCAAACATCCATACGATCCCTTGAGGTGCTGAGTAACAATAGATTGTACACTGCAATAATCCAGGTTCTTTTTTTATTCTGCATGGACACAAACATTTTTTAACAACAAATTGGCTTCCTCTAAATATTTCCCAAAAAGTCGAACATTATAGAAGTTTCCTTCCGCATAAGATGGCATTTAAAATCTGCTTTTTTAAATGCCTTTTTCTCTCTGAAGCTGTACAAGTGTTGGTGCTCTTCTTCTAACATGTGTTGTTGTTGTTCAGGTATGCTCCAGAGTGTCTGACTCACTGCAAGTTCTACCTGGCGTCAGACGTCTGGTCCTTCGGGGTGACCATGTACGAACTCATCACCTACTGCGATTCCTCCAAGAGCCCGATGACGGTCAGTTCTGCACCCTCACACAGACATCCAACCTCTAACCCTTGCTGTGTGTTGTAAGAGGCTCGGATGATAATTCAACATTAAATACACATCACACACACTGTACCGCTCTTGCAGAAAATAAGACATGTATTTACCACAGCTTTAATCACACACAGTCGTTTGTATGTGGCACATGGTGTCAGTCGCTGGCCAAAGCGCCGGACGACGGACTCCACCAGGAGCTAAGAGCTATCATGAAGATCTTCCATTTACATCCAGCTTCTAACTGCCACTGTTATCCTGCTTTACCTGTCACTGTTGCTGGAAGCCAATTAGCATTACAGATCTGCACAGGTCAAGGACATTTCAAAAGAGATCTGTAAAAAGGAATGAAAAAAGCAGAGCTATTAAATCTGCACTGGAGTTTTACTTTCATGTTTCACGCTTCATTGAAAAGCATTGCATGTTGTTTCTTTTATAACTCGCTCTTGTCTCCCATGCAGCTCTTCCTTGATATGATTGGTCGAACTCAAGGACAGATGACCATCATCCGCCTGGTGAAGGTGTTGGAGGCTGAGCGGAGGCTGCCTCGTCCTGAGGGCTGTCCTGAGCCTGTAAGTCTCATCACCATGACAACACAATGATAACATCCACACAGACTTTAGACCACAAATGGAAAGAAAAGGAAAACTAAAAAGTGTTTGAATGTTTGATCACAGGTGAGGAGCAAAAAGCTTCTTATGTATACTAGGTCTTAGGTGTTGGGAGAAGGTTTCAAAAAAGAAATTCAAAATGGCAATTAAAAACATGATCTCTTTGACCTCTCATTTAAAAAGAATCATAGTAAATAATGCAACTTGCATATTCTTTTGTGCTCTCATTCCTTCTACCCCCAACATCTTTTTTCTAATGATCTTTTTTTATATTAATGCTCTGAATGCCTAAAATAATATTTGTTGGTATATAAACATTGAAACAAAAGTCAAATGTTACCAAAAAAGTCATTGTAACTGTGTCTTAGAAATACAAAAAGAGTCATAGTATAGTATTTGATTCATGTTATAAAAATGCCATATTATAGTTTGCCACAAAAAAAGGTCATATTATACTATGTCATTTAAACGTCACCAAAAAAAAGACTGACATTTCCTGAGCAATTACTCTCCTAATGTATGTGCACTTGATATATAGGTTAGTTTTAGTTGTCTGGACACAAGCCTGCAAACAGTGGCATGCAAAGGAGGCCGTTTGTCATCAATATTTGTATTGATATTTTAAACGTTGTTAAATTAGTAAATAGAACTGATCAGTGTGGCTGTTGGTGAGGGCATAATACAGTAGTCATTACATTTAGGGAATCAGCAAAAAAACGTTCCCAGTAGATGCAAAACCCCTCACCACCTTCAAACTGACATACACTAAACAAAGTTATAGCAGCAGCAGTATAATATAACATGCTGATACTGCAGTTTCTTCCTTTGTTAGGTTTTTACATCTCCACCACCTGTTGTCTAACACTGTTCTTGTTCTCAGGTGTACGAGCTGATGCGCAAGTGCTGGGAGCACAAGCCGGAGAGGAGAATCACCTTCGAGCGCCTGGTGGAGGAGCTAAGCAGCATGCAGCAGCAGCTCCAGCCTCAGAACCACATTTAAACCGCCTCAGGTTTAAGGCTCTGGAAGGGAAGTTATCTTCTGCCTGCAGACTCGGGAGCAGACCCCAGATCTGCATCTGCATGTGTCGCTTCATTTGGCTGAAAGACAGTCCTGAAGAATCAGAGCTTCACACAAACCTTCAACAACCCTGAAAAAACGTATTGTCCCATCTGTCATTTTACTATGTTTGTATTTCTCATTTTTGTTTTTCTATTTCGATGTTTCCTCATTTTATTCTGGATGAAACAAGTTCATATATATGTAGCCTTAGCTCACGCTAAATGTGCCGTTATATCTTACAAAAGGACTTCCAAGTGTATCTAAGGGATTGAACTGTCCGCGTCGCCACAAATGTCAAACTCGCTGCTCCGTAATGTGCGCCGAAGGCCTTTATAATCATGTGGATCACTGATGGACGCTTGGAAGATGGAGGCCGAGCAGAGAGTCGTTGTTTGGATGGATGGACACAGGCATTAACACAGACACTGATGATGTGTTTTTCAACATTTTGTGCCATTGCTGTATGTCTCATGGACTCCTGTCTGTCGGGAGGAAATCCCACGATTTTTTATTTTTGTAGTTGGAGACGGAGAGATCAGAACGATCTGGCAGATTTATGTTAATGAAGTGCAGACGAAGTCTCTAAGAACTGGCTTAAAGAGTCAGTCATGTTTTTTTCACTTTGTTGTTGACATTAGATGTTTTTCCTTTTTAGCTATAATGCAAAAACCCTTCGTTCTTGGGGAGTTTCTGCTTTTATTAGTTTTATACTGTCAAGCTATTTGGAGATATCTTACGTTTAATGACATTGTTAAAAGCATCTTTCCTCATTTTCACACATATTAGACTTTAGACAAATTAATCGAGGAATTATTCCACAGATCACTAGATATTCAGTTAGTGGCCGGACACAAATGAGAGCACTTTCTCTGTCAAAGAGCTTTATCTGCAAACAAGCAGGAAATCTACTTTTTATTTTACTAATGTATCATCTTCCATGTGGTTTCTTCAAATCTGCAGACATCACATATATTTTGCACCTAGTTATAGTTGGAGGTAGTTCAGTTTTTGTTCTCTGTTCTAAATGTAATTGAACTCTGAGACACTCTTTAAGTACCTGGGAGAGACACTTGAGGGCAGTATCACTTCACTACTCTCTACTGTTTGTGTAGCTTTCAAAACAATATATTATCAAATGTCTATACTATACAGAATATTGCAAAAACAAAAAAGAGCCATGGTTAGGATTGTATATGCAAGGACTTCAGATGGTACAGTTTCAAGAGAGAAGAATTGATCATGGATTATTCACATGGCATTTTATGTTCAGCAAAATATATATTTTTCTTTTTGTGACTTTCATAATTACATATGTGTAATTTCTATCCAATATGCCAGAATATTCATAAAAAAATGTATTTTATCTGCGAGTTTGTGAAATGGTATGAGCAGAGTTTTTTTGTTTCGACTTTAGCCGTTTTATTGAACTCAGACTTTCAAGAAAAGTTAAGTTGCTTTACTGTGGAAAGTGTGTAAAACAAAAAAAAAGACAATTGTGCTTCAGTCCACATTTTATTTAGGAATGTAAAAGACAATTCCTTTTACTCCAAATAAGAAAAATAAATATATTTTTCAAAAATAAGACAAACATATGAATATGGAAGGTAAAAGTATCCATAAATACACAATGAAAAATAAATAAAATCAATGTTTTTTGTGTTCTGTCTGCGTCAGTCCAAATGCAATATATAATTAACTAATGAAAACCTTTTGTTCTATTCATTTCAGTTTTAAATAGGCATGCTAAAATTGCTCTAGAAATACCTTATTCACAGTAAAACAATAGCAATGTCAGTGTGATATAAAATGTAGCAAAAATCTACAGTATGTTTCAGGTCAGAAAATAATCCACATACGCAAAAAATCTTTACAGAAGCACAGCAAATCTAGATTTATCTACAGCCAAGACAAATCTGAATATGTTAAGTATTGCAAAGCTTTGTGATCCGCACACACACAGTCATTCACTATTGCGAAGTCCAGGCTGACTGAAATACACAGAATACTTCCTGGAACATGGCGATGCTCTGAACTTAGAGGACGCTCCGTTTACACAACAGAAAAGTCTGGATTTGAACCTGAAGTGATACAGCTAGAAGAAAATCACAACTAAACTGAGACTTTCTGTTCGGATGGAAATGAGCATCCTTTGAAACCAACAGCATTTTTTTATGTCATATTACTATTAACAAAAAAAGATCATCTGCATTTACACAGAAAAATGAATATGCTCTGTGTGTGTATGCAGGTTTGTGCTGTGTTACTTCTGGGGAACCAGGCCCTTTGGGTACAATCATCATGAGGACTTCACGTCTGGCACAGGGAGAAAACCATCCAGACACACTCCTTTCTACATCAACCTCTAAACTCCATGTTTCCCAAATAAGAAAGACAGAAATGAAAATGTTATTTAATGAAGGCAGTTTAAAGATAATTTGCAACATCAGTCCAAATAAAGATCAATCCATCATTTGATCTTTCTAAAAAAGTATCCGAAGGCTTAGAACCAGACAAATGCAATAATGAAAACCAATCATTTGGGAGTAGAATTACAAGCACAAAGGACCTGTGAAACAAAACTAAGCAACGCTTTTATTTTCAGAAGAAGTATGATGTTAGCCATGGGGATGAAAATACATGATGTAATGGGACCACCAACAAGTACCAAACAACCGCTCATTACATCACTAGATAGCTTGAATTTATAAAAAGGTAAATATCTGACCAGTGCGTTTTAAAACACCTGTTGTTTCAGCAAAATGTGTTAAAAAAAGATCACATTTCCATTGCCAGTGTAAAGCCCGGATGACCCAACGATCAATGAAGTATTGAGTTTTGTAAGACTGAATCAGGACAGAGCTCATGGTAAATAATAGAAACGTAGCTGTGATACTGGTGTCGTTTATGTCATCACTACAAGTTCATTTAAAGGATAACCTGTCCTATAGGATAATATTCCAGATGATTCTGAATATTAAGAGATGCCATGAAAAGACCAAGAGCCACATATTATTGGTTCGTCTAACAAGTTCTGTTTTTATATGAACAGATATTTTTTCTTTGTTATAGAGCACTATTGTTCTTTAAAAACATTGAAGACATATCGCTGGGCAATCTGCATTACGTATGCATTCATAATGATACTGCACATCGGAAAATAGTCCAACACAAATGCATTATTAACTCATACGTGTGAGCCGTTTGATAAAAACTAAAAAAACATGCAAAATTGGATGAATTTGAGTTTTTTTTAGCAGTCTTTGAAATGTACATCCTGATTCAAGTCAAATGGGCTCTGGGCAGAAAACAGATGTGCAGATTTAGCAGGATGACTCTGCACTACACAGAGACATTTGCAGATCCTGTGACGGACAGGTTCGGAGGCTCGATTCCAACTGTGACCTTATGAATGTGAGTGTGCAATTAGACTGCTGTCAGATATCTGCTCACCGGGGGGGGGGGGGTTGATGCTTGTCATTTGGCCTTCATGGAAAATGCAAACTGTGAGGAGGACCCTTTACTGTACGGGAGGTATGGTAAGAAGCACAAAAGGACACAAATGCATTCATATTGATTTGGATCACACCAGGTAAAGTAGTGTGAAAGTCCAGCTAACAGAAATACCAGGAGACATTTCCTGTGTGTTGGAGTGTGACAGCTCCACAGGAGTCTGGCACACAGACAACCACTGAGTGTGCAGACAGAAGGAGAGAAAGCCACAATATTGAAAAGTAAAATCTAAATCCCTGCAGGCTGAGCAGCTGGAGTTGTTTTCGTTTCCTCTCTTTTTACAGCCTCTCTCCTCACCCCCGTTGCCTGCTAAAACTACATTTTTATAGTTTCACACCCACAGAAACAAACACGCCTGGATTTACTGATTCCAACACCACTTTGACACTCGTCATCTGCAAAACTGTGTTGAGTGAACGCACAACAAAAAAAAAGTTTCAATCAATGCGAAAGAAAAGATTTGAGAGCAGACACAAGGTCGGATTTTCTGAACAGATATTTTGTGTAGAATCAAATATCAAACTGCTTGGCATAATAAAAGATGACAATCTGCTAACCTGAAAATGTTTGCAGGTCACACTCATTGCTGGCTGTTACGCCGTGGTGAAATGGTACAGAAAACTAGAAGCAACATGTCAAAAACCATCCAGACGGCAAGATGAGGATAAAATCTAAATGACTCGTAAACATCCTCAAGGTCACACATAACTAACTGTATGGTTGTTATGGCAACACCAGGTCAATTTTGATCAAAAATATCAGTGTGACAAAAGATTCCCATTACAACTTGAGAGATCCACTGTAAACAACCTAGAAATGCCGCTAAGCCTTACTCAACCTAACAGGACACCAAGCTGGAACAGGAAAGTCGTTCTTCATAGTTGTAATTTACAAAGCTCACCAATATCCTTCATCATGAGTCTGAATGGGTTGCCTAATGGTTGTAAGGTTAACATAATCACATTTTTTCAACACTTTTTAAGTTTTCTGTACCTGAAAATGATTTTGGTTAATGTAAAAGAAGGTGGAAAACACTTTGGAAGCAAAAACAGACTCAACAGTGACACTTCACTCAGATCTGCTCTCAATGTGTGTCGAAATCTGAGTGGTGATGCCTTCAAAATCTGTTTAAAGAAAGCACTACATTCAAGTCAAGCGACCTTTCTCCCAAGTATTCTTCCTCGTGGCAATCCTGATTCTCTCCTCACACACTCAAAAACATCTTCCCTATTTATTTTTGGGGAATATGTACTTTTGCACTTCATCTGAGTTTCTGCATTCTGTGCATACAGATATACACACAGTATGCAGGGAAAAAGCTGACACCGACAAAAAAAAGAAGAGACTGAAGCAGACGAGCAGACAGACAGACCCTGTGGATGTTAACAGCTGAGGCAGCGAAATCACACACACACACACACCCCCACACACCCCCACACACACACACACACACACACACACACACACACACACACACACACACACACACACACACACACACACACGGTGTATGAAAATGACTGTCAAAAAAATGGGTGAATTCTAGTTTTTGTATATCCTCCATTAAGACTTCTAAATAATAATAAAAAAGGGACGAGAGGCATTGAATGCAAAAGAGGTGACAACATCCATTATGCTAAACATGAGCACACAGAGATGTTGATCGGGAGCTGATTCTGTCTGTATTTATATTGTAGCTGAATAAATAAAATGTCTCACTCTTTGCGCATTGAAATTCTTCCCTCCTTCTGTCCATATCCTCCATAAAATATGATATGGATGCAGGCTTCAAAACATATCACAGTTTCATGTTAAAAGGGTTCTCTAGAAACTTAAAAAAAAACAATGAAACACGTTTAGGTCAAATTGACAGCAAGAATCGACAAAGATTCAAATAATAGAGGAATATGTATCCACCTTTAGTTTAATGTCAAGCTGTTTTAGTAGTCCTTAATAAAAACCTTCCCAGTGCACCAACACTGATACCATAACCATTGTGTCCGTGCGTACATCACGCACTTCCTGTTACAGCCAGTCATCGTATCTGGACTATCCTGATATATTGGCATTATCTGATCTCACCTGCTATTGGCTTTCACAGTTTGTGAGTGTTGTTGCCATGACGATGCAAGTAGCACTCTTCTCTGTGATATATGAGCAGAATACGAAAACACATACAAACATTGAAAGAAAGCTGTTACCATTACGTAGGAGTTTAATACTGTGTGAGGAATTTAGAAAAATTTACATTTTACATTCAACTTTCTACAGTAGAAGGAGCCTTAGTTATTGCCGGTTTGTGCACATAAAAGAAAAGCTAATGTCAATGCTGCAATATTAAAATACCAAGCCCTCTCCTAAAGGAACAACATCAAACCTTGTGGACATGGAGTATAATTCACAGCCTTTGCTCTAACAAATCAAAGCATCTAACTAGTCTATTTTCACAAAGTATGCATACAAACATTTAAAAACAGTTGGAAAGAAATTAGCTATGGGAAGATCATAGGTAATAGTTGCTTTTTCTCTATAAAAACTGCCCATTGATAAAAACTAAACTAAATATCACAGTGGCTCGTTATAGTAGCATGTGATGAGCGAAAAGCAAGAAAAGAGCTGAAAATGTTTGATACCAAAGTCCCAAAAATGAAATTAAATGTGTCCCAACCTCACACTATACCAAAAGAACATATCAATATTTATTGTATACTATGTATTTTTATAGTATACTGTGGCAAACAATATACAAAAACATATTTGATAGTGACGGGAAATTTGGAATATCACCATCATACACAAAGAGAATTACACAGAAGCTTCATGTTCTTCAAAAGATTGATTTGTTTGGTTTTAATTCTGGAGATGATTCACAAATATCAACCAATTGTTTGATTGTTTTCCCCAATCTTTGGAAAGCTGCTCAATTTGCGTGTTTTTCAAATACATACTAAGTGGTTTTAAAATACTTTCCTTTGGCACTTTAACAGTGCAAACTACATAATACAAAAGCTTTGAGTCAGTATGTAGTATTGATTTAGGACAAACTTACAGACTTAATATTCAAATTGCAGCTAGAAACAAAAGTAAAGCTTCCGTTACAATCCGACAGATCTTCCCAAAAACACCCCAATCTGTTACGACA